ACGAAACTTTATGTTCATAATTTGCGTTGTTCATATTCCCAATTATTAATCTGTACAATTGTATTTAAATTAGAAATATACTGTATAGAAATTATGAATCTACATTAAAGAAATCTATAAATCTCGTGTTATGTACCTATATACCCGGTACTATTTTAATCGCAAATTATGCCTCAGACCCGTGTCCACAATGCATTGTGGACACGAATCCAAAACGTACGACGTCGTTTTCAGGGAACTTTGATTTTGTCTCGCCGTTAACGGCATTATTCGTTTGTGGATTATGAATGTACAATTATGACTTTATGAATGTACAGTTATGGAATTATATATGAATGTACAAATATGGAATTATGAATGTACAGTTATGGAATTATGAACACAGAGCTCTGACATTATGAACTTACAATTATGAACATATAGTGATAAAATTATGAACGTAGAGCTATAAAATTGTGAATATATAGAGCTTCAAAAATTATGATTTTACAGTTATTGAATTATGAATGTACAGTTACGGACATATGCTCCTATAATAAGCGGTCTTTGAATTTTATTTTTTATTTTTTAAAAAAAAGTGGAAGATAACGGTGCCACTAACGGCATCGTTACCGTGTCCATACTATTGGCTGGACACGGGTCCAAGACATAACAATTGTATTTTAATTGACCGGATCTAACGACCCGGATAATAAAACTAATATTTTCTTACCAAATTTTCCTCTAAAACAAAATTTCCCTCTAAGACAAAATTGGTAACCAAATTTTTCTCTTCCCTCTAAGACATCATTGGCAAGTTTGTGGACGAAATTCAATTTCATTGACTAAGACAAAATTCTGCTTAGACATCACTGAACCAACTTCGCTGACCCGCCATTGTCGTCGATCAGTGAGCTTCAATTCGCTCTCCGCGGACCGCCACTCTCGTTAGTTTAGGTTCCTCTCCGCAGTCAGAGTGCTCTCCGCCGACCGCCACTAGCCATCTCCGCAGTCAGAGTGGTCGCCGCCCACCGCCGTTCTCCTCAGACGCCGCCGCCGCATCCAACCTCCGACGCCGTCGCCTCGTCCAACCTTTGCCGCCATCGCCGCCTCCATCCTCTGTCGCCGTCGGTCCAACCGCCGCCACCGTGGTTAGCTTTCAAATTCATCCAAAAACTTTAAGGTTAGCTTTCAAATTCATCCAAAAATTAATAAGTTGTCAAATCCATCCAAAAATTATCTGATTGTATCAATGTGTGTGTTTATGCTAAACAATTTTGGATTTAAGCTTGGGTTGGGGAATTAGGGTTTGAATTTCGGCAAATTTTCTGTGAAGAACAGATATGTAAAACAATTTGTTGGTTGTTGTAAGTAATGGGGGTGGCAACCTATATACATGTAAGTGCAAGATTGTACGTAATTTTTTATTATTTATTTTTGTCTGAGGGAATTTAAGCATTACATATCTCCATGAATGCTGTGATTATTTTCAGTGACTTGAATAAATTAAACAGAGATACAGAGAGAAAAAAATTGCCCTTTTTAGTATACTTTCTTTTATGCATTTTAGTTTTCTTGAGCTCTTAGTTAGGAATTTCACACATTGAACTCTGAAGTCTGAACTGAGCTGTTCTTTGTACTTAAAATTTCTTTAATTTTGTGGGTATATATTACTGAGAAGTGAGAATTTATTAAATGATTTCTTCTGATATATAAGCTATTATTGTATGAACAAGAGGTAAGGTGTTCAGAGCTGCAAAAGTCAAAACCCTAGAGGAAACCTTAAATTACTTTGGCTGGTGTGTTATTACTGTTTAAACTTTAGACTGTAAAAAATGTGGATTGTTGTAGAGAAAGAAAGAATCTTTTTTCATTGGTATTCTTCTATGCTCTTTTCAAAGCATTGGGTGTCTTTCTCATAAGTTCTTCTTTCTATGTTGAAACCGACTAATTGGCCACCAAGTTTCTCTCAAGATGTGGTACAGCTCATGTGCCTTCTCTTCTAATTATTGGTATATAAAATGCAGTCACAACATTGTTTAATAGGGGTGAGTGGACTCATGGAATCTGGGGCATGCACTTGCAGGGTAGTTCTGTCTTTTTCATAAAGTTAGAGGTTTACATTCTAACACATAAAGTAATTTAAGCTTAATTAATCTTATATATGCAGCACTAACAGCCATAATTTAGAGTAATAATGCTAAGTACAGTACTTGTCAATTGTTGCATTCATAGTTCCTTCATCTTCTTTTTTTTTTTTTTTTTTTTTTTAGAACCTCATAGTTTGGATAAATTAATGCTTTAGGAATGAGCAATTTGTTTAAAGAAAATTATGCATCACACAAGCCTTGATTATCTTTCCGATTCACATTATTTTTTGTGATCATGTTTCGATCTTGTATACATACACGTACCACCAAAAACTGTACTTTCCCCTTCCAACCTTCCTAACTACCCCTTTCTTAGGATCCTTTACGTAGAATGCCATCCAAGCCAACTACACATATATATGTATATGTCTTTCCATTATTTTTGCCACATTATATTAATGATTTTGTAGTTGTAGTGTTTATATTATTTGTCTTGTTACTTGAATATTTTTAAGCAAATGGAAAATAGATGGTTTAATGGTCAACTAGGGATGCAACCTGACAATCAGCAGCATGACAATGAGGTATGTGTACACACTTCTCTTGGTTTGTCAAACTTTTTTTTTATTTATTTGACATTTTATTTTGAGAGATAACACTGTATTTCTGTTTTTCTGTACTTAACAAAATATTAGATAAATACGGAGTATAAAATTATTGTCTGTATGTTTTTTGGTGCTGGTGAAACTGTCTGCACTCTAAAATGTGTCATGCTTGAACTCAACAGATATATTATGGTTAGGCAACCTCATATATTAAACCTTTGCAGTGATCTGTGTATGTTTACGTTGCCTATACAGAGATCTGTTCTAGTTTTTGACTTTACATTGCATTACTCTTTGGCAATTTCCTCAAATATTGCCATTTTTTTTTCATGACATCAAACTCTACTTGTCTTCTCATAGGCAGATGAGGCTTCTATCCTTGAGGATCTCACAGAGGACTTTCGCCTACCAATTAGTCACAGACCAACAGAAAATGTCGATCTAGAAAATGTTGAGCAAGCACCATTAGACAAACAGTTAACATCATATCCAATGTCGGATTCAGGCTTCTTCAGAAAATGGGGTGGAAAGGAAAGGGCCTTGGAAAAAATGAGCAAGGTATAATTGTTCACAGGATGATCTGGAAAGCATTGATATCTTTATGCACATATTTGATTCCCTCCTTTATTTTGGTTTACCTTCTGTGTACCATTTAAGTGTTTCCTTTATTAGATGGCTTGGCCTGATCTGTTTTTGAGTATTTCTTATTTTCATTTTCTGTTGAGTGTTTTTAGTACATGAAAACACTGCATACTCCCACCCAACCTGACTTTTTTTTTGCAAGAATGAACTGTTTGCACTGAATTCTATCAATTCTGGAAGGCTAACCATGCAATGTTTCATCAGTGCGGACTGAAAAATATGAAATTCAGTTTTCTGCTAACCATTGTATCTATAATTGTTTCCCCCTCTTTCCTGACTTCTAATTGTTGATCTAAAATTGAAATATGGTTCCAACTTGGGATTTTGGAGTGAGATGCAGAAATTCCATTGCCCAGTATAATTCATACTAAATTGCACACAAAACTTGTGTGCATTGATCATTTTTTTTTTTTGTGGTCTCATTTTGGTATATCAGTGGGCATGAGATTTGACCTGAGCCAAATGTCTAGAAAAGGAAGTTTCGCCAACAATGTTAAAACTCAAAGCTCTGTATTTGGATGCTATTGTTAACAACCTAATAGTTGAGCAAACTTTTACCAGAGGATAATATTTGTTTACAACTTAGCATTAGTTTCAAATTTCAAAATGCCATTTGTGCATGATTTTCTTGATTTCTTGTCCACTTTGCATCTAACTCTTATGGATGAGGAGAACCATATTTGGTAATGCTTTTGTCTCTTTCTTAATTCTTTACAATCTGTTTGTTTCAAGGCATCATCGAGCCAATAAAGTCCGGGATACGAGATGCAAAATTAGGGCTTGGAAAGCAAGAGGAAGATGATTATTTTACATAAGAAGAAAATATCCAGCAAAAAAAGCTTGATATTGAGTTTGAGGAGACTGAAGAACTTGCAAAGAAACGGGAGGTATGGATTTACATCTTTAAGGGTAACTATGTTGCATGGTAGAAAATCTGAGTTTGATACTTTACTTTTTCTGATACATACATCTAATAACAGAAGGCAGCACATAGTATTTTCTATAATGTATTGGTCACTTGGTATTTCTCATGAGTGCTCAATTTTCTCTCCACCAACAGCTACAAGAACAATTTTGAACATTTGGAACTCCTTAAGCTTTTGGCAGATTGTTTTGAAGGCAACTAATTTTGGCCTCTCTGTGTTCATTGAGCAAGGTAAATTGCTCTCAATGATTATTGTTTGTTATTTCTTATAATAATATTTTGCATGTTTTTTAAGTATCTGTTAATTTTGTTGTTGTTGTTGTCATGGTCTTGTCAAAAATCATATAATTATTTTACAAATTTATTATATCTATACTAATTTATTTACTCACTATTTACATGTAGTTCCAACAAGTTGATTATGACAAAGTGGTTATTGATATGGTGCGTTCAGAATGGGCTGATATTCTATCAAGTTATATAGAGTAGGTATGATTTGACGTTGTGATCATTTAGACTTGGTGTGTGGATCGGAATTGTTTTTTGTAGTATTATGACTTGGATGATGATTTGATTAGAATTGGTCATGTTCAGTATTTTGACTTGTTATTATGAACCTTGCTTAGCTTGTGTAATGTAACTGCACTTGGCCATGGTGAATGGATAAATGCTTCTATTTTTTTTATATGATTAAAATTTAAGCAGGTTAAAAACGAGTTGAGACAACGGTTAAACGTTGTCTATTTTACAATAGACAACAGTTTGAAACTGTTGTCTTTTCTACAAAAGACAACAGTTTATGGGTGCGACTTTTAACAACAGCGATTTCAACAACACACAATAGACAACATTTTATAACTGTTGTTTTTTAAAGAAAAGACAACAGTTAAAAACCGTTGTCTATGTGCATCACTTTTAACAACACCAGTTTCAACAACATTGAATTAACAACGGGTCAAAAACCGTTGTCTTTGGAAGAAACGACAACGGTTTAAAACCGTTGTCTATGTTCGTGACTTTTAACAACACCGGTTTCAACAACACTTAATAGACAACGGTTAAAAAACCGTTGTCGTTTCTAGAAAAGACAACGGTTATTAACCGTTGTCTATGTGCGTGACATACAACAACACCGGTTTCAACAACACTTAATAGACAACGGTTAAAAAACCGTTGTCATTTCTAGAAAAGACAACGGTTATTAACCGTTGTCTATGTGCGTGACATACAACAACACCGGATTCAACAATACTTAATAGACAACGGTTAAAAAACCGTTGTTGTTTCTAGAAAAGACAACGGTTATTAACCGTTGTCTATGTGCGTGACATACAACAACACCGGCTTCAACAACACTTAATAGACAACGGTTAAAAAACCGTTGTTGTTTCTAGAAAAGACAATGGTTATTAACCGTTGTCTATGTGCGTGACTTACAACAACACCGGATTCAACAACACTTAATAGACAACGGTTAAAAAACCGTTGTTGTTTCTAGAAAAGACAACGGTTAAAAAACCGTTGTCTATGCGCGGGACTTACAACAACACCGGCTTCAACAACAGAAATTATACCCCTACGACAACGGTTATTAACCGTTGTCTATGTGCATTTTTCTTGTAGTGGGAGCACAATGTCTCAAAAGAGCACAATGCTATCAAACAAGCAAGATGTTTCTAAAGAGCACAATGTTCAAACAAGCATGATGTACACGAAGAAGCACAATGTGATCAAAATCAGAAAAAGCACAATGTGTCCTAAGGAGCACAATGTGATCAAATCAGACAAGCATGATGTAGCTATAAGCAAGATCTGATTTTTGACAAGCAAGAATAGAAAACAAGCGCAAAGTTTCTTTCGAAAACAAGCAAGATGTGTACAAGCAAGAAAGCTCAAAAATGCACAAAAGGAACATCTGAGATGCACGGTCAAGTCAAGTCAAATAAGCAAGAAAGATGTTGCTTAATTGAGACAAGCAAAAACATGACTGATTTATTACAAACCAATTCTTGAGAAAGGTAAATCAGATCAAGCAAGAGAAGGAGATACCAAGAAAGGGGGAACCACAAGTACAACTTCATACTATTTGAATTTATGCAACTATTTAGGGGGAATCTCAAAACCTAACAAATGATGTTGTATCTACTACTCAAGTAGATGAGGTTCAGGTTGATGTTGGTGAAGGAGTTGGAAATGATGTTAGAAAAGAAGTTGAAACTCATGATAGAGTTTATGTTGGAGATTATATTGGAGCTAATCTTGGAGCTTATGATATAGATACTGATGTAGTCTATGTTTGGGAAGATGTTGTCAATCCTATGGGCGAAAGCATAAAGAAATGAATGATAACTTAAATCAGTTGACATTGCAAGGAGGTTGTAAACAATGTCAAGTCAATTCACAATGCCCAGAAGGAGGATTCAAAGGACATCCACACCCTTTTTTATGCTGCCAAAAAGGGGGAAGAAAATTGAAGAAAATGATAGTCATTTTGGAAGATGTTGACAGTAAATCTACTAAGAAGAAGAGGTAAATTCTTGATATTTATGTTCCATTTCTTTATATATACTGGACGTATAAGAAAGGGGGAAGAAGTTGGTAGTCATTTGTTATTTTTGTTTGGTATCAAGAATTGTTTTTGACTTAGTTTGTATAAGCGCATGATTGAGAAATATTTCAAAACGAATTTAAATAAAAATAATCTCAATAATGCGTATAGGAATTTTTTGTCTATAAACAATTCTTCTAGGTCAAAATCATGTTGAACTCATCACTTGGCTAGTCAAAATAAAATATAATTTCTAAAAATTCATTTTTCAAAAGACTAAGCCAAAATGACTGAGTATAGGTTTTGGCATCATCAAAAAGGGAGAAATTGTTAGGAATAATTGTAATATAGTTTTGATGAGCCAAAATTGAATTTTTAGAATTTCACATATTTTATTTTGAGTGTAGTGTACAAATATCAAAATAGACCTGAACCAAATATCCTACGAAATTCAAAGGCAAATAGAACCTCTCAGAATGTTAGTATTTTATTTATTTGCAATATTAGTACTAAGAGGTCTTTGTAGGTTAACGGAGAAGACACTTTGTGTTTTGGCGAGAATGTGTGTTCGAATCCTTGTGACATCTATTTTGCTCACTGATGGTCAGAGTTGAAGTTTGAAGAGCAGAAACGTTGTACACTAACTCAGGCAGAAAGAGTATAAATACATTATCAGCCCAAATATAACCAATAGGTTGTCATAGAGCATTGGTAAGACATTTGAGAAGCATTGGGGTTAAATGTTGTTTTGATTCCTGCTGATAGCATTTTTGAAGAGATAACACCTGGTGCATGCATGCTATCTACATCACGTGTACAATAAATAATAGTCAGAAGCATTTTAAATTAAAATAGCCATACTACTTATCTTCTCCAATAGGCCATTCCAACAAGAAGCAGAGAGCACGGCCAGGATTTCTTTCTGAAGATTTTATCTTTCTCAAGCAAGAGCAGAGCACGACATTCTCTACCAGATTTTCTCTTCCTCAAGAGCAAGAGCATGGTCTGATTTGAAGATCTCAACATGAAGATTTACTTTTGTCAGAAGATATTTCATCCAAACCAAAAGAATATTTATTGCAGAAGATCAGCCGCAACTTACGACTTTTTGGTGTAGCAGATGAAGTTTTTCAAATAAATCTGACAAAGCCATTATCCACCGAAAGCTGTTGCATTTAATTACTTCAGAGCAAGTTGCAAATTGGAGCATCGCAAATCAAATGGACGGCTAGGATCGAAGAAGCTACAACGGCTCTATGGCCTTTGTTGGCTATAAATACGGGCAAGGATTGAAGACTTGAAGCAGCGGCAATACACAATACAGAGAGCAATATTTGAAATATTCAGTTCATTATTCTTGAGCTATCTGCGTAGAAATCTTCAAGTCCTTAGAAGAGAAATTTGTTTTCTCTAAATCTTTTCCCAACTGTGTGTAGAAAGAAGGTTGAATGTAGTTGTGTGCAAAACACTAACCTGTTGAGTGTAGCTGTGTGCGAGACACTCGTGAGTGTAGCTGTGTGCTAGACACTCGTGAGTGTAGCTGTGTGCAAAACACTCGTGGTTGCTAAGTGCAGCTGTGTGCAAAACACTTAGTTGGCGTAGGAGTATAGCTGTGTGCGAAGTACTTGTGGAGGAGTGTAGCTGTGTGAGAGACACTCGGGGTTGGGTGTAGCTGTGTGCAAACCACTCAAAGAAGTGCATGTGTAGCACTTATTCACTATTGTAACTGTGTGTGGAAAATAGTGAATTTTCTCCTAGACGTGAAAGGAGAAAAGTGGAGTAGGGGGATTACGCCACCTCCGAACTACTCTAAATTGTCTCTCTCATTTACTTACTGCTCTCATTTATTTATTGCTTAGTTTATTGTGAACTAACTCATTTTATATTTGATATTCACTGTTTGGGTTTGCAATTTTCATACGTGTACATGCATACACATTAACATATTTAATTTTACAAAGATATTAACTATCACACTTCAAATAGAAATTGGTTAAATTCATCTAAGTCAATCTTTTCATACGCGAGTATATATGCATGCAACACTTATTCTAAATTTGCTTATTCAATATAATACAATTCAATATTTGTATTTCCCATCTCATACGTAGATACATGCATACCCACATAAATCAATTTTGACTTGCAAATTCAATTATGACTAACCCTTTTCATACACAGATAAACTCATTTGGGTTTAGTAATTTCCACGTCCGCATGCGAGTTAATTTTTGCATACATATTATTTGAGCTATTTCAAGCATATCTAACGTATTGCATGTGATATATCTCTCAGTTTATACGTAACACATTACTGTTAAATTATTCCGATGTGCACCCAAGTTAAATATCTTGTTATTTATTTGTAACTTGGAGTTGAAATTATCAAAGTGTTATTAATCGTGAAAAAAGTTTAGAAAGTCTATTAAGCCCCCCCCCCCCCCCCCCCCCCCCCGAACCACTCTAAATTGGAGTAGCGGGATTACGCCACCTCCGAACCACTCTAAATTGTCTCTCTCATTTACTTACTGCTCTCATTTATTTATTGCTTAGTTTATTGTGATGTAACTCATTTTATATTTGCTATTCACTGTTTGGGTTTGCAATTTCCATACGTGTACATGCATACACATTAACATATTTAATTTTACAAAGATATTAACTATCACACTTCAAATAGAAATTGGTTAAATTCATCTAAGTCAATCTTTTCATACGCGAGTATATATGCATGCAACACTTATTCTAATTTTTCTTATTCAATATTTGTATTTCCCATCTCATACGTAGATACATGCATACCCACATAAATCAATTTTGACTTGCAAATTCAATTGTGACAAACCCTTTTCATACACAGATAAACTCATTTGGGTTTAGTACTTTCCACGTCCGCATGCGAGTTAATTTTTGCATACATATTATTTGAGCTATTTCAAGCATATCTAACGTATTGCATGTGATATATCTCTCAGTTTATACGTAACACTTTACTGTTAAATTATTCCGATGTGCACCCAAGTTAAATATCTTGTTATTTATTTGTAACTTGGAGTTGAAATTATTAAAGTGTTATTAATCGTGAAAAAAAGTTTAGAAAGTCTATTAACCCCCCCCGAACCACTCTAAATTGGAGTAGGGGGATTACGCCACCTCCGAACCACTCTAAATTGTCTCTCTCATTTACTTACTGCTCGATCTCATTTATTTATTGCTTAGTTTATTGTGATCTAACTCATTTTATATTTGCTATTCACTGTTTGGGTTTGCAATTTCCATACGTGTACATGCATACACATTAACATATTTAATTTTACAAAGATATTAACTATCACACTTCAAATAGAAATTGGTTAAATTCATCTAAGTGAATCTTTTCATACGCGAGTAAATATGCATGCAACACTTATTCTAATTTTGCTTATTCAATATAATACAATTCAATATTTGTATTTCCCATCTCATACGTAGATACATGCATACCCACATAAATCAATTTTGACTTGCAAATTCAATTGTGACTAACCCTTTTCATACACAGATAAACTCATTTGGGTTTAGTACTTTCCACGTCCGCATGCGAGTTAACTTTTGCATACATATTATTTGAGCTATTTCAAGCATATCTAACGTATTGCATGTGATATATCTCTCAGTTTATACGTAACACTTTACTGTTAAATTATTCCGATGTGCACCCAAGTTAAATATCTTATTATTTATTTGTAACTTGGAGTTGAAATTATCAAAGTGTTATTAATCGTGAAAAAAGTTTAGAAAGTCTATTAACCCCCCCCCGCTCTAGACTTTCTACCACCCTATCGGGACCAACAGTTACACACAAAGGGAAAGTAAGACTTGACAATCACATACCATCTTTTGCTTTCAATATTGTGTCGCTAGTAAATTAACCAAACAGTCAGGTTACAAGATCATCATGGGAGGTGATTGTTGTACCATCCAAGGCCCTCTTGGAACAGTGGATGGTTTTGCTAAGGAAAGGGAATGACTCTATATGACAACTAATCCACCTGTCAAGAAGAAAAATCAGCATTCTGGTGAAAGTTCTAGCATTCAATGTAATAGCTTGATATATGGCATAACAGGCTAGGCCACTATCCTATTAATAAGATTTCATCTTTGAATGGAATAAAAGTTGTATCCCTTTCTAAGGGTGTTGATTTTGTTTGTGATGCTTGTCACTTTGCCAAACAAAAAAGATCTATTTTTCCTGTCAGCACCTCTAGAGCTCAAAATGTTTTGAATTGTTACACATGGATGTTTGGGGTCCATTTATTGTTGCATCCCTCAAGGGGGACCATTACTTCTTAACAATTGTTGATGATTTTAGTAGATTTACTTGGCTTCACTTGATGAGGAACAAATCAGAAGTTAAGATTGTCTTTCAAAACTTCTGTAACTATGCACATACTCAATTCTCTGGCAGGATTAAGGCAATTAGAACATATAATAGAAGTGTGATGGCTGCATTTCTCAATGAAAAGGGGATCATTCATAAAAAATCTTGTGTGTACACTCCTCAGCAGAATGGAGTAGCAGAAAGGAAACATCAACATATATTGAACATAGCCAGAGCTCTAAAATTTCAGTCTGGACTACCTACAATTTTTTGGGGTCATTGTGTGTTACATGCATCATACCTCATAAACAGACTTCCAACTGAAGTTCTTGATGGGAAAACCCCTTTTGAATTGATGACTGCAAAGAAGTGGACTACAACCAACTTAGATCTTTTGGCTGTCTATGTTTTGGGGCCACCATATCACAAGGGAGGACCAAATTTTAGCCAAGGGCAAGGAAGTGTATTTTTCTGGGATTTCCAGCAAATACAAAGGGTTATATCTTATATGATTTAACTGATGAAACTATCTTTGTTTCTAGGGATGTCAAGTTCCATGAACATGCTTATCCTTTCAAGGGATTAAATCCAGAAGCCACAACTGAAAAGTTCAATCCTTCATTGCCATTGATTCCCATTTCCACTGAGGCAAATTACATACCCTAGGAGTTCACAGAAGTTGTTAATGGTCCTAGAACTAGACCACACAATGATTGCAATGCAGATGATGGAAATGCAAATGACACAGATGAAGACATTATACCTAATGGTGATTTGGGGAATGAAATAATTAGTGATACAGTTGTTGATCACAATTTATCAGATCCTGCTGAGCAACATCTTGAAGAAGCCTCTCAAAGTGACTGTGACTTACCAAGTCATAACAGTCATCAACAAATTAGAAGGTCAACAAGAACAAAGACTATGTGTAACACCCCGAAATTTTTAAACTTTTGAAGCTTATATAATAAAGGTAGAATCTTATTAAATCCCAAAACACAATACAAAGAGTACGAGGTGCTATGCCACACCTGAGCTGGGGAACTCAGGTGCACAGGCTAACTAGCTAACATCCTTAATAAAGAGAATGCATAACATGGCGCGTAGGCCGAAAAGGAAACTATCTACTTCTAAGCTCCGAGGTTCTAGCGCGCTCCCGTGCCTATATTTCTGTGCCTGAAAGCCAAATATATCTGTTCAGCGAGAGATGCTGGTAACCCACTCCAACGCGTTGAAATACAATACATATAGATATATACATAGATATACGAAAAGTCATTTCGAAGCATGAAGATATATCCTAAGAGACTCTAGCTTTCAAATCAGGGAACCGACTCGACAAATAGGGGTACACACAATCCACAGTCATAACCAAGTATATACAATTCTCGACATAGGGCACAATTATAGATAAACACAACCAATAATCACAATTAAACATGTATAGTTTACTAGCAAGAATCCTATGGTCACATTTCCATAACAGTCACAACATCAATCCTTCTCATCTCATCATATAGCACACTTTGTTGGCGCCACAGGACCAATCGCATGCCCATACATGAGGGTCAGCGCATATAGCTCTGACACGGCCCCGCAGCACCCTGCCCCGTCTCACAATACGGAGGGGTCGATTGCAACCGACCGATGAACCGCAGCTCATCATAGTTTGATCGCAACCAAACAGTGGACCACAGCCCAAGAGTATGTCATCTGACCGCAGCCAGGAAATATGAACCGCAGCTCATGTAGAACGGTGGACCGCAGCCCTATATAATATTTATATACCTGATCGATCTTAACCGGCCTGGTTAACAGTTAGGATGGTTCTCAACCCATTCAACTGCCCGTATAGTGGACCGCAGCCCTATATAATATTTATATACCTGACCGATCTTAACCGGCCTGGTTAACAGTTGGGATGGTTCTCAACCCATTCAACTGCCCGTATAACCAATTTGATCGCAACCAAATTGGGGTATCATGCACACATAACACATAACACGCACAAGCAACCCACATTAACACATTGGGAAGGGGGAGAAAACGTAGAACAAAACATATGCGTGATCCTTCACATACTAAGGATAGTCCTAAAGGGTTCATACTCCTTTCACCTAGGTCAACGGGATGCCAATTTAACTAGGATGCAATATATAAGACTTATACAACCTACGAACGGTACCCGAAATATCAAACTAGACATAGGCACGATAGACGGAGTCCGTTGGGACGCCACGGGGGTCGGGGGAACATCAAACGGGGAAGCCAAAATCCCGAATTGGGGTGCAAACCAGCGGGTAGCCGGTGGGTGAGGGTTCACCCGCCGGCGGCAACTATTCCGGGCAGCGGGTGCCCGGCGGGCAGCTGCCCGCCCGCCGGCGATGCCACTTTTAGCCGTGGGTAGGTGGCGGGTCCCCTACCCCCACCTACCCCCCACTGACTTTTCTTCACAATTAAACGCCCCGGGAACCACCGTGGAACCCGGAACCATGCTTAGATACTTTCAAACGCGATTGATAACACACATAGACAATTAACGGATAAAAATCAAGAAACATACGGCACATAACCTATCATGTTTTTCTAAACATAATCAACACCCAAGCATACAAATTCCCACCCAATCTACCAAGAATAATACCATACGAATTCCACGATATAACCTAGGGTTCTAATTATTTTTTAAATCAACAAGAACACAATTCATCTTCTAATATCAAGATTCGGTAGGAATATCATATAAACATCAAGAGCATCATATAATCATCAAGAATATCAAGAACACCACATAATCATCAAGAACCTCTTATCATCAAGATCACCCATGGAACCATAACACCAATTATCAAGATCATTATAACGAATCATCAACACACAAGAATATGGGGGAAATCCTAATTAGCCTTAATTAATTCCTTGGCTATGAAGGGTCTTTCTTTAAGCTTTCTTCTTTCTTGATTTCTCCTAGGGGAATTCTTGGAATTCTTGGTGTGGTGAGAGATTATTGTGGTGGGGGTTCTAGGTGCCTTCTAGGTTCCCTATTTATATATTTAGGGGTTTTACTTAGGGTCTATTCCTTCTAGGACTGGGGGTTGGGTTTAGAGATGAGGGCCCATGGACTATGGTGGGCCTTTATCCTAATTAATTTCTGTAATTTAATTCTTTCTTTTGGGTTATTGATTAAATGATTTAATTGATTTTAGGGATCGTAACACGGGGTGTTACACTATGCCCCCCAAGTTACATGATTACTATTGTCATTTTATGGTAACAGATGACTTAAACAGAAGGACCTCTCCTCACTCTATTCACAAGTTTATTTCTGATGACAACCTCTCTGCCAGTCACAAGTTGTGTGTTTCTGCCATTACATCCAAACATGAACCCCAATCTTATAATGAAGCAGTCAAGAGTGAGGAATGGAGGAAAGACATGCAAGCTGAAATAGAAGCTTTGGTCCAAAACAACACTTGGACTCTGATAGAACTGCCTGTAGGAAAATCACCAATTGGCTGCAAGTGGATCTACAAGGTAAAACATAGGGCAGATGGCTCAATAGAGAGGTACAAAGCCAGATTAGTGGCTAAGGGGTATATTCAATAGATGGGAGTAGATTACACTGAAACCTTTTCTCCTGTGGCAAGGATGCCTACTATAAGAACCTTTTTTGCTGTGGCTATTGCTAAGGGATGGGAAATCCAACAACTTGACATTAATAATGCTTTTTTGCATAGAGATTTGGAGGAGGAAGTCTACATGGTACTTCCACCAGGTTTCAAAAGTGATAAGACTAATCAAGTATGCAGGCTATTGAGGTCTCTATATGGACTTAAACAAGCAAGTAGGCAATGGAATGCTAAGCTTACACATGCTCTATTAGACAATGGTTTCTATCAATCTACTGCTAATCCTTCATTGTTCATCAAAACTTCAGGAACTTCATGCACTGCACTCCTTGTGTATGTGGGTGATATTCTAATAGCTGGGACAGATTCTGTCCAAATCACAAAGTTAAAGCATTTTCTGGATACATCTTTCAGGATTAAAGATCTTGGCCAATTGAACTATTTTTTTGGAGTTGAAGCTTTCAGAAGTCCAAATGGCATTAACCTCTGCCAAAGAAAATATACCCTGGAAATTCTAAAGGAAAATGGTTTCTTGGAAGCCAAACCTGCCAAGACACCCTTTACCACAGGACAAAAACTCAGCAGCACTGATGGGAGGTTACTTGATAATCCTGAGATGTACAGAAGACTTGTTGGGAAACTCTTATACTTGACTAATACTAGGCCTGACATATCTTATGCAGTTCAACAATTGAGCCAGTTTGTGGACAAACCTAGGGACACACACATAATGGAAGCTCATAGGGTGTTTAGATTTCTTAAAGGTTCTCTTGGAAGAAGCCTTTTCTATCCTGCAAACTCTCCTATCAAACTACAATGTTTCTCAGATTCAGACTGGGGTACCTGCACAGAAACCAGAAAGTCCATCACTGGATATTGCATTTTTCTTGGGAATTCTCTTATTTCTTGGAGGACTAAGAAGCAAGCCACTGTGTCAAGATCCTCTTCTAAGGCAGAATACAGGGCTTTGGCTACTACAACTTGTGAAATCCAATGGCTTTCCTACTTGTTAGCAGATTTACAGATGAACACTACTGCACCTACTGTTTTGTATTGTGACAACAAATCAACAGTTGCTATAGGAGAGAACCATGTCTTCCATGAGTGTACTAAACACATCGAGATCGATTGTCATGCTGTGAGACAAAATGTTCAATAAGGAGTGATCAAATTTTTGGCAATTCCTTCAAATAAACAGCTTGTAGGTGGATTTACTAAAGGATTGTCTAAACCTTTATTTGATGACTGTCAATCTAAGATGGGCATGCAAGACCTACATGCTCCAGCTTATGAGGGGGTGATGAAGCATAATGCAGCACTTACCAAGCCTTAAACAGCAGTCTGAGTGATCAACCGTCTTTACATCATCTAGCTTAGAACTTAGGGGCTTTTTAGTCTTTTTAGTTCTAAGTTAGTTATAACCGTTTTTTGATATCTTTCCCTCTATTTGTATGCTTTAGTTGTGTATGTGTCTGGTTGTTACTTTCACTCTCTTTCACAATGAACAAACTGTCTTTCTTCTCTCTTCATCATGAGCTCCCAAACCCTACTAAGCTTACTTGAGCAATATGATCAAAATAGAGTTGCCGATTCCCTTGTTAATGTTGGGACTCTTATGCAGGAGGGCTGGACAACGTTCAGTTCTTGTCCCTTACATAGCGAGGAGGCTCATCTCATACACTTAAGCAGTGTTATGTGTGTTCGTAGAGTTAGAGAGTCACCCAGCTCTTGAGTGAGAGCTACTGGGTATCCCCGTCCCCCTGATCCAAAAAAACTTGTACGCCGGGGATTGTTTGGCCTGCTATTTATGAGAGTATATTTCCAAAGAGGAGGATAAGGCGGCGAGAAGCGAAGAGGATAATGGGAGTATGGGACTGTGGTAGAGTTTTGCTTCACCTTTCGCTTCAAGCAACCCTAATAAAAATGCCTATTAAATTTACTGAAAATTTGCGCTTTTAGGTGTAAAATTTTCAATTTTTTTATTTTTTTTTTGATTTTTTGATTTTTTTTTTTGTCTAAGAGTGTCTAAGAGGAAGAAAATTAAAAATTAAAAAATTAAAAACAAAATAGAAGAAACAAAACAAACAAACAAATTTCGTTACACTTGTCCAGTAAACTTGTGCAATACGACAAATTATGCAAAGTGGATTCAGGTCTAAAATGATAAATAAAAAAAATTGTTTCCTTTCATCTCATTTGTATTCAGAATTTGTTTATCTATATTCACCAATCGTTATGTTGTGGAACCGTGTCCACCTTGCAAGGTGGATACGGTTTTATGTTCATAATTACTGAACAATATGTTCATAATTATAAAGCTATATATTCATAATTTTTGAACTTCAATTCATAATTATTGAACTCTATATTCACATCTACAATTTTAGAACTGAATATTCACAATTTTAGATTTCAATATACAAAATTACATAACTCAATATTCACAATTACAGAACTCTATGTTCATAATTACTGAACTATATCTTCATAATTATAAAGCTATATATTCATAATTTTTGAACTTCTTATTCACAATTATTGAATCTCTATATTCATAATTACAGAACTATATGTTCATAATTATAGAACTATATATTCATAATTATGAACAATTTTGGAACCGTGTTCACCTTGCAAGGTGGATACGGTTCCACAGCATAATTTGCAGTTTTGCACTATATTCAGAATACAATTTCAGAACTGAATATTCACAATTTTAGATTTCAATATACAAAATTACAGAACTCAATATTTACAATTGCAGAACTCTATATTCACAACTTTAGATCTCAATATACAAAATTACATAACTCAATATTCACAATTTTTGAACTCTATATTCACAATTTTATAACTTTATATTCACAATTAAAGAACTCTATATTCATAATTACAGAACTGAATATTCGCCTGGTGAGTTATTTTCAATAATCATTGAATGAAGAAACGGTGCAACTAACGACGTCGTTATTTTCACACACGCAAACTGTGTTGTTTTGGATCTGGGTCCACCTTGCAAGGTGGACACGGGTCCATGGCATAACAATTGGTGCAATACATGTATACTCACTAATAAGTGCTGCAAATGAGCCCAACATGCACCAATAGTGTTCATTTTTATTTTGTTCTCTCTCTATTACGGGTCTTTAAAAAAAATCATCTCTCTGTAAATTAATTTTATGCAATAACTAAGTAGGTAAATCTGATGAAGTCATGCAAGCTGAATATGGTGAAGTGGTGCATCATGCTGTATGGACACAGGCTGCAACAACACAAGCTTTCCAGAGAAGGGCTTTTAAGTCTTTTCACACCTTAGTTAGTTATAACCGTTTTTGGTTCCTTCTTATAGTGCTTTTCCTTCTTCTTCTGAATGTAATGATACACACACATCTTTACATCTTTCCAGTTCACATCTCAATCAATGCTTCCTCTTTTCCCTTTCACCTTGTTGTTCATATGATCCAAGATAGCTCATCATGGTATCAGAGCTTCGCAGAAGCTACGCCGGAGCTGTAATAGTGGGAGTAGACGGCAACGGAAATGGATCGGAACATGCAGGAGCAGGAGCCTCCTCAGCTTCAACCAATCATACACAGCGAAATGATGATTTTGATGATCCGTTGTACTTACACATTACGGAAAATCCGAACTTATGCCTTCTTTCGCCTCCATTAACCGAGCTCAACTACTCATCTTGGAGTAGATCAATGAGGATAGCCCTGGAGGTTAAGAACAAGTTCAAATTTGCGACTGAGAGCATTCCGAGTCCAGCAGAGAATGATCCGAAGATCGGATCATGGAAGAGATGCAATCGCATCATTAGTTCATGGATTTTGAAGTCCATCAGTCCTAACATAGCAGAGAGCGTAATGTACTTCGATAAAGCCTCGGATATATGGAGTGCACTACAGAAGAGGTACTCACAATCTGATTCACACAAGATCTCTGAAGTTCAGAATCAAATTTTTAGGAGTGTTCAGGGAAGTATGACAGTGAATGAATATTTTACCAAGAGCAATGCTCTTTGGCAGCAGATGAATGCTCTAAGGCCCTTATTGATGTGTGAATGTGTGCCTAAGTGCTCCTGTACTCTAATGAGTATAATGCAGAAGCAAAGAGAGGAGGATTATGTGATCCGATTCCTAGAAGGTCTGAATGAGGATTATGAAATCATTAAGTCTGGAGTATTGGTCATGGATCCAATTCCAGAAATGGAGAAGGTGCTCAACATGACCTTGAAAGTTGAGAGGAAGATCAAAGGCTCCATCAGTCAGAAGTGCAATGACTTAATCCAATCCAATGCAGTTTACAATTATCAGACTCAAACTGCAGAGGAACATTCATTGTTGGCAGTAGCAGCATCCAACAACAGAAAGAAATTCACAGGCAATGGAGGGAAAAATGTTCCAAAATGTACCTTCTGTGGCATGCTTGGGCATATAGTTGAGAAATGCTATAAAAAGCATGGCTATCCCCCAGGGTGGGTTGCAGGTTATAAGTCAAAGAATAAACAAGCTCAGGACACACAACACTCTTCAAATGCAGCTGTAAACCAAGCAGGTGATATAGGGATTTCTGCTGATCAGTTTCAAAAGCTTCTTTCTCTTTTGCAGAATCAAAATAAGGGGAATCAATCTTCTAGCAATGCTGCTGTGACTATTGCTGGTTCAGGAGTCAAACCTAGCTTCAAAGACTCCATGGAGGCTCCCAGTGAAGGTAGAACTATTTCTAATCCTTCTCTTAATGTTATGATGAATACAGATGATTTTTGGATAGTGGACTCAAGGGCCACAGACCATATTACCTGCTCATTAGATTACTTTGATGCATATGAGAGGGTTCAGGGAATATCTGTTAAGTTACCTAATGGGGAGATTGTGAGTGTCACTCACATTGGACAGATAAGGCTTAATCAGAGTATCCTATTGACAAATGTGTTGTATATTCCATCTTTTACCTTCAACATTATCTCTGCCAGTAAACCGACTAAACAGTCAGGCTGTAGATTGGTTTTAGAAGCTGATTCTTGTGCTGTCCAGGCTCATCTTGGAACAATGGATGGTTTTGCTAGACAGAGAGATGGATTATACTTGGTCAGTGATCCTCCTATTAAGAAGAAAGCTCAGTCTCCTATTCTAAATGATTTCCAGTGTAATTCCTTGTCTTTAGAAGTGTGGCATAATAGATTGGGTCATTATCCCATCAATAAGATTTCTGTTTTGAATGGAATGAAACATACTGCTTCTCAGAAATGTGATGATTTAGTTTGTGATGCCTGTCATTTTGCTAAACACAGAAGATCTCCTTTTCCAACTAGCATGTCCAGGTCTGAGCATTGTCTAATCCACATGGATGTCTGGGGTCCTTTTGCTGTGGCATCTCTCAAAGGAGAACACTATTTTCTAACCATTGTGGATGACCATAGCAGGTTTACTTGGTTGCATATGATGACAAGTAAGTCAGAAGTCAGGACTATATTTCAAGACTTTTATAATCATGTTTGCACTCAGTTTTCAGCCAAAATTAAAACCATAAGGACTGATAATGGTACTGAGTTCTTAATGAGAACTTTCCTTGATGAAAAAGGCATAGTTCATCAAAGATCCTGTGTGTATACTCCCCACCAGAATGGGATGGCAGAGAGGAAACACCAACACATATTGAATGTAGCTAGGTCCTTGAGGTTTCAATCAGGCTTACCTATGAATTTTTGGGGTCACTGTGTGCTGCATGCATCCTATCTCATTAACAGGTTACCTACTGATGTGGTTAATGGGAAGACTCCCTTTGAAATTTTACACAACAAGGCTGTGGATTATGGGCAACTCAGGACCTTTGGTTGCTTGTGTTTTGGTGCCACTCCTCCTCAGGGCAGAAACAAGATGGAATCAAGGGCAAGAAAGTGTGTCTTCCTGGGATATCCAGCTAATGTGAAGGGGTATATTCTTTATGACCTTAACACTCAAGCTGTTTTTATTTCAAGAGATGTTAAGTTCTATGAGCATGTGTTTCCTTTTAAAGATCAAAGTCCAACACTTGTGCCTGAGCCTACAGCAACTGAAGCCATCAATCCTTCACTTCCCTTGGTTCCTGTTTCTATTGAGGCTGATTTCAACACTGAGTTTGAGAAGCATCCTAACAGCAGCAATGAGCAAGATAATATCATGATCAATCTTGAGATTGACCACATTAATGACATTGCATATGATAATGGTGATGAAGCAATGGCTACCTCTGATGGACCAAATATTGAGCACAACCTGGAGGATTCTCAAGAGTCAGAATCTGAAACTCTTGATCATGCAACCACTAATGAGATAGTTGCTGATCAGCATCAAGCACAACTTAGAAGCTCATCAAGGCCTAAAAATATCCCTTCCAAGTTACATGGTTACTACTGTCATAGTTCTGTTTTGAGAACCTCTCCTCATCCCATACAGAATTATATCTCCTATGACAAGTTGTCTTCTGCTCACAAGTTTTGTGTTTATTCTATTACCTCTGCACATGAGCCACAGTCCTACCATGAAACAGTACAACATGAGGCATGGAGGAAGGCTATGCAAGCTGAGATAGAGGCCCTAATTCAGAATGATACATGGACTCTTACAAAATTGCCCACTGGGAAATCACCAATTGGTTGTAGGTGGGTTTACAAGGTGAAACACAAATCAGATGGCTCAATAGAGAGATATAAGGCAAGGTTGGTTGCAAAAGGCTACACTCAACAGCTTGAGGTGGATTATATTGACACTTTCTCTCCTGTAGCTAGGATGACTACTATCAAGACTTTTCTAGCTTTGGCAGTTATCAAGGGTTGGGACATTCAACAACTTCATATCAATAATGCTTTCTTGCATGGTGATCTTGATGAGGAAGTCTATATGGTGTTGCCTCCAGGCTTTGAGAGTGACACACCTGATCAAGTCTGCAAATTATAGAGGTCCTTATATGGTTTGAAACAGGCTAGTAGGCAATGGAATGCCAAGCTAACAAAGGCCCTACAATTTGATGGTTTCCAACAGTCATCTGCTGATCCTTCTTTATTTACCAAAGCTGTGGACAACTCATTCATAGATTTGCTTATATATGTAGATGACATTCTGGTGGCAGGAACAGACTCAAAGCAAATACAAGGTCTAAAACAGATGTTGGATGACTCCTTCAAGATTAAAGATCTTGGTCAGCTCAATTACTTTCTAGGAATTGAGGCTTTTAGGAGTCCTAATGGTCTTAACCTGTGTCAAAGAAAATACACATTGGATATCCTACAAGAAAATGGCTTTCTTGATGCTAAGCCTGCAAAGACACCATGCACTCAGAGCCACAAACTTACAAGTACTGATGCCATTCTCCTATACAAACCTGAAGATTTCAGGAGATTAGTTGGTAAACTTCTATATTTGACTAACACAAGGCCTGATATTGCCTATGCTGTCCAGCAGCTATCTTAGTATGTGGATAAGCCAAGGGATACACATCTAGCAGCAGCTCATAGGGTGTTAAGATACCTCAAAGGCTCCCTAGGCAAAGGGCTGTTCTATTCTTCTGCTTCTCAAATCAAGCTGCAAGGTTTTTCAGACTCAGATTGGGCAAATTGCACTGAAACAAGGAAATCCATAACAGGCTACTGCATTTACCTTGGCAACTCTCTTGTTTCGTGGAAGACAAAGAAACAAGCCACAGTTTCAAAGTCTTCATCTGAGGCTGAGTATAGGGCATTAGCCTCCACAGTTTGTGAAATACAATGGCTCATATATCTCCTAACAGATTTGAATGTGCAATGCAGTAGTCCTATTGCCTTGTTTTGTGACAACAGATCAGCTGTGGCAATAGGGGAGAATCATGTCTTTCATGAAAGGACAAAGCATATAGAAATTGACTGCCATATAGTCAAGCAGAAAGTCCATCAAGGAGTCATAAAGCTGATGAGCATCCCTTCTCATAAACAGATAGCTGATGGATTTACTAAACCTCTGCCTATTGCTCTATTTGATAATTTTCATGCTAAGCTGGGCCTTCAAGATCTTCATGCTCCAGCTTACGGGGGGGGGGGGGGGGGTGATGAAGTGATGCAAGCTGAATATGGTGAAGTGGTGCATCATGCTGTATGGACACAGGCTGCAACAACACAAGCTTTCCAGAGAAGGGCTTCTAAGTCTTTTCACACCTTAGTTAGTTATAACCGTTTTTGGTTCCATCTTATAGTGCTTTTCCTTCTTCTTCTGAATGTAATGATACACACACATCTTTCCATCTTTCCAGTTCACATCTCAATCAATGCTTCCTCTTTTCCCTTTCACCTTGTTGTTCATTTGATCCAAGATAGCTCATCAAAATCGCCCTTAGTGTTGCTTGAAAATCAATGTGGATGCGGCAAACGATAGCAATTCAAGAAGGCTATTTGCATGATTGGGGTTCATTCTTCGAGAGTCAAATGGTAGTTTCATAGCAGCTTTGGAGTTGAACTAAAAAGGCTATTTGCATGCAAAGTTGGCTGAGGCTATTGCGGTTTGAGAGGTCCTAAAATGGTTTGAAAATAATATAATGCAGGAGGGCCGTTTTGGCTCCATCAATTTCTAAATCCTCCAAGATTTCCTTAGGGTCATATGGAATTCGATCAAATCCCAATGTCTTTTCAGGTCTATCACCTATTTAAAGACTAATCTTGTAAATTAAAATAATTCTCTGAAAAAGTTAACAAATACAGTTTGAGCTAATTCTATCAATTACACAAACTGTAACCACAATAGATCGCAACTTTTTCATATAGTACTACAGTCTATCCCCGGCTTTGTTGTGAATAATATGTCTGAATATTTCCTTGAAACTCCAAATTGCTTCATTATATTTTCCCCTATTTATAGTTGTTTTAGACACCACAAAATTAGGCATTGTTTTCCACTATCATCCAGCTCTCTTCACGACGACTTCATGTAAGAAAATGATGGGTGGTTATTGAATTCTTCTCAACCACTCATTTGTTGAGATAACCAAGCATCTGTTGTCAGAGAAGAAGGGACGTCTCCGTCTGGAGACGAAGCCGTTGTCTTTTTTTTTTTTTTTTATAAATATAATTTTGTTATTTAAAATTATTTAATAAAATAAAAAAATTATTATTTTAATATGATAACCTCCACGTCAGCAAATTAAAAGGTAAACAAGTCACTTTTGATTGAATTGCATCATTTTGCATTGTTTAGGGACCTAATTACATATTTTTTGAGTTCAATGGCCTAGTTACATTTTCGTGTGTAGTTCAATGCCATTTAATTTGGACAAATTATGTTGTGCAACCGTGTGCACCATGCATGGTGCACACGGATCTAGATTCATAATTTCTATACTGTAGATTCATAAAATCTATACTGTAGATTCATAATTTTATAAATATATATTCATAATTATAGAGCTATATATTCATAATTTTCGATGTTTATATTCCCAATTGTTGAACTCTGTATTCACAAATCATACAACTATATGTTCATAATTTGATAACTATACAGTTTAGAAATTATGAATCTACAGTACAGAAATTATGAATCTACAGTACAGATATTATGAATTTACTGTATAAAAATTATGAATCTAAACTCATGTGCACCATGCATGGTGCAGACGGTTGCACAACATAACAATCCTTTAGTTTGACCCTTATTCCAAAATATTATTTCAATCTCTCTATCACTTAGCTCCATTCTTTACTGCTTGATTGAACTCTAACACACTATTTTCTTAAATCACATAACTATATGTTCATAATTTGACCCTTATTTTGCTGCTTGATTGAACTCTAACACACTATTTTCTTACATTTGCAAATTAAATCATCTAAAACATGATACAAACAAATTTGTCTAGTACGAGCCTTCCACGGTAATTACTTTGATAAAATCATTGGTTTGATTAGTTTTGCATAGAAATTTCAAATGAAGTTTCACATATTTATCATCTGATGACATGAAAGATGTTAAAGCCCCCTTAATCCATTAGTTTCAGTATTGCATTTGGTGTTTGCCTCCATAGGATGAATGAAATGGAAGCATGACCAATTTCAAAAACAGTAATTTGTAAAGAAAGCAGTCTGTGTAATTATAATCATTTACAAATAACCAACTTGGCTATAACCTAAAAAAAAAAAAACTAACAATTATAATTATCAAGAACACTAAACTAGACATTGTCACATTAGAAATGGTTATACTGCAAAAGAAACCTTCCATTTGGCACATCACTCAAACCAAAAAGCATAGTTCAACAGAAACATACCCATTAAATAACAACAGTTTCTAGTTTTGTGGAGGCACGAGAAAAATGCAAAATAACAATTTCTGCTTTTGTGGAGGCACGGGGAAAATTCAAAAGTTGTTGCTTAATTCCAAACTTGAACTCCTTTGTTTGGTAAAGTGCGGGAAAAATAATGAAAACCTTTTCAAGCGCTGAAAAACAGGCAAGTATCTCCTTAATGAAAATAATTTCAGACTGCAAACCCCTAAATGAGGTAAACTTCAAAGCACGAAGCATTTTATTTGTTTGTGCCACGCCTTGAAGTTTTGACAAGAGCTCCAAAAAGGCACCATTATATTTAGTTGCCATCTCCTCAAGCTATAGAAAACCATCATCATACAAAGGAAAAAAAAAAAAAAAAAAAAAAACTCAATCGTATCAGCAATTACACAACACAATTGAATTTAGGAATGCATAACAATACATAAACAACTAAAATATCAGTGAACGGTTGGACAATTTGTCCATGAAAATAAACATTACCGCAAATACATCCATGTCAAGTTTGCATAACCTGGGGCATGTTTGCAGCAAATGAACAAGTGCAGGAATTATTGTATCACTTCGGCAATCAAATGATAGCTTAAGGTTTTCCACATTTAGTTGAAATCCCATCCTATTAATTTCTTCAACAAATTTCTTGGAAATCAAATAGAAAGAAAAGGAGGATTAGTTCCCTAAAAAAATAATACTCATATAAATAATAGTCTGATAAAAGGGAAAAAAATATGGCTAAATACCTGGATATTTGAATATTGCAAATTCAGAGTAGAAACAGATCTTAAGTCCAAATTAACCGGAAGAAATTTGTCCAAACAATGAGAGTAGAAAGATGTGATTGTTAAATCACACAGCTTTGGAGCAGTCATGTTAAAATTAAAAATGTTTTCACAGCAATAAAATAACAGACTCTCGAGTACGGGTACATCAATGGCACAATGTGAAGCCATTATAGGATCAAAGTTAACATGATCAAAACTAAGCAAAGCAACATTTGGTAGTATGCAGGGGGATTTCATTGGTTGAACAACGACATAAGAAAGATGCAACCTCTTGAGCGTTGAACAAGAAAATATGTAATTCGGCAGCTTGTATATATTACGCCGAATACGAATATTCATTTCCTCAACACCTTTCTGTGTAACTAAAAGTAACCATTGGTCGAAGTCATAAGACCGAGACTTAATTGTAAGTATCCCAATATCAACAAAATCGAGAACAAATTTCTGAATAATTCCATTGTGTTGGTGGAGAACTTTGTTGATCACATACAAACCTGCTGCAGATTTAGCAGGACGATGTTTGTCAATCATATAAGTAAAGAAGTGACGATCAAAGTTAAGTTGTGTGAGATTGGACCAAACATCTCTCCAAATGGAAGACAGAACAGCGGTTTTAGCAGCATCTTTAATCGGCAAAAATCCCAAGATGATGTCAAGTATTTCTATCGGAAGTTTACTGATTCTATCTCTTCTCGGTGCCATAATCCAATAACCTTAACATATATGCAAATTAAATAACAAATGAATCAAAAACTAAAAACATAGTCAAAAACTAAATTGCAAGTCTTAAACACAGACAGACATGATTATGCCAATTATGAACACGAATATAATAGGTGGAGTATGCAAGGTAGAAATAAGAAACGAAATAATCCAATTCAGAACAAACAAATTGCTTGCATTCAAATTTTGTAAACACAAATTAAACTTTTGATCCAAAATTTTTTTAAAACCATAATTTAATTCAAAAAATATATATCACCTGGTAGAGTAGCTAGTAGCTAGAATGAATCTAATAGGATGTTATTCACGGTGAAGTTGTATGCCGGAGATTGTTTGGCGGACAAGGCGGCGAGAAACGAAGAGGATAATCGAACTATGGGAGACTGGGGGTTTGCTTCACCTTTCGCTTCTAAGCTTCAGCCCTAGCCAAATTGCATATTTAATTTTTTTTAAAAAAATTCTCCATCAGGTGTTAATATATTGTCAGTTTTTAACTAGCTATTGCCTATTGGGGTGAACGTTCGTGCATTTTATCACTTGACAGACAATTGTTATGCCGTGGAATCGTGTCCACAAACCACGGTTCTATGTTTATAATTATTGAACTCTACATTCATAATTATAAAATTTTATATTCATAATTTTTGAATTTCATATTTACAATTATTGAACTCTATATTTACAATTACAGAACTCTATATTCATAATTACTGAACTCTATGTTCATAATTATAAAACTCTATGTTCATAATTTTTGAACTCCATATTCACAATTATTAAATCATATATTCATAATTATAAAACTCTATGTTCATAATTATAAAACTCTATGTTCATAATTTTTGAACTCTATATTCACAATTATGACAATTTTAGAATCGTGTTCACCGTGCAACGTGGACACAAACACAATTCCAGAGCATAATTGTCCTTGACCGAGATCGGGAGTTTGAAAAAATAAAAAATAAAAAAAATAACCAATTTGGTTATGTGTTCATTGGCCCAATTGTTTCATTTTTATGTTTTCTCTTTTAGGAGCCTCAGTGTCTCACAAAAAAAAACTCTCTCTTTCTGTAAATTTGTTTTATAGTAATGCAAAATTGCAAATGTTCCTCTTTTTTTTTCTTTTTTCTTTTTTTCTCTTCTATGAATTCCACAAAAAGATTCAACTTCATGTAAAAAAAGAACAAATTGCACTTTTGGTCCTGTGATTATTAGGGTACTGATAATTTGAGTACGTGACTTTCAAAACTCTCAATTTAAACCTTTAACTACGCAATTATTAGCAGATTTGGTCCTGCCGGCCAAATTGTCGGCCAATTTTGGCCGGAAAAATGTAATTATTTTAAAATTATTTATTTATAAGGGCAAAATGGTCATTTAACGTCATGTGTTCTAAACTACGGAGTATATTTTAATCATAGGAAGTAATTGACAGTTCACATTACATCGCCATAGTAATCTGTAAAAGATTGATGCTGGAGAGTACATAAGACAGGAATCTATAAATGTTGTGCGCAATATTTACTTGAAGTTAATGAACAAAAGGGGAGAAAGAGAGACAAATTAGAGATACAATAATATGTTTGTTGAATGGAAGCATATATCCCCACCGGCCGGCCGCCGCTTTGATTTAGCAGGAGGCAGGAGGAGCTCTGTAATATGCCAGAATAGTCGCCGGGAAGAACATCTTCCTAACTCCTTCTGCCTTGATGATGGGGAGGATGATGGCCGATGCACTTTGTAAATATTTCATTTTCATCACACGGGTTAAAATCCAAGGAAAGTGGGGAAAGAAAGAAAGAAAGAATGAGAGATTGAAATACGAGGGCGCACCGAAATTAATCTTGCTCCGATCCACATGCGTTTCGGCCAAATGGGGATTTTCTTTTCCGCAGACGCAAGAAGAAGAAGAAATGACGTTAAATAACCATTTTGCCTTTATAAATAAATAATTTTAAAAGAATTACATTTTTCCGGTCAAAATTGGCCGGCAATTTGGCCGGCAGGATAAAATCTGCTAATAATTGCGTAGTTAAAGGTTTAAATTGAGAGTTTTGAAAGTCACGTACTCAAATGATCAGTACACTAATAGTCACAGGACCAAAAGTGCAATTTGTTCTGTAAAAAAATTTTCCACCTTTACTTTCAGTGGTTTTAAAATTCGCTAGATCAGAGTGAATCAATTCAAGCACAGAGGAAGTTCTATGAGTTACAGCAAAAAAGGGCTTCCTAGCAAATTTTGCTTCAGCACAAGTTTCACACTGGGAGCATGCATCATTAGACAAGTTTGGCAACATATTTAGGCTTTTTAATCTATTTAAGCACTTTGAGCCAACGTGTCCTAATCTACCATGCCACAAATTAACTGAAACAGTGATATAAGCCGAAGGGGAAACATTATTCTTATTGATAGATTCTGGTCCAATTACAGATATGTCTAACACAAATAATATCCCCCGTAGATACCCTTTCCCGAGAAAAGTCCCACACCGAGTCATAACCAACCGGTCTGACTCAAGGACAATTTTGATCCCAACCTTATTAAGTAGGCCCCCGAAAATTAAGTTTCTACGCAGAGAGGGAACATACAACACATTGTTCAGTAACAACTTCTTGCCAGAATTAAGCAGTAACTCTACTTTTCCTCTACCACATACCTCAGAAATACTGGAGTTGCCCATGAAGACTTGTTCTCCTCCAGTGACGGGCTCAAACACCTTGAAAAATGACTTGTTGCAGAAGTGACGAGACGCCCCGTGTCCACGACCCACTCATCTAGGTCTCCGACCATGTTAATCTCAATAATCACCGCTGCTACGGCCTTGTCATCCTCCGTGGTTTCTACCACATGTGCTTGATTTTTGGATCCGTCATTCTCTGATTTTTTTATTTGTGGACCCTTTGCGATGATAGCACTGTGCATCTCGGTGTCCCCGTTTCCCACAAACATAGCACTCGTCGCCCTTGCCCTTTTTCTGAATTTTTCCATTTTTGATGCGATTGTTACTATTTTTCGCATTCTTTTTTTTTTTTATTTGTATTTTGATCACCTATTTTATGCCTATCATACTTTCCTGTAGTTTCAACAACGTTAGCTTTTGAATTATTAGAAAAGGATTCAGACTTTTGTACCATGCGCTTTTCCTCTTCAATGTTGATGCTACTGATCAGTTGTTGGAGGGTGTAGTCGCGTCGCTCGTGTTTCATTTTACTCTTGAAGTCCACCCACGAGTCGGGCAACTTATCAACGAGTGCATCACCCAGGAACGCATCGTTGACTTCAGCACCTTCAGTTCGCATATCTGAAACCATATTTTCGAATTCATGTACCTGTTCCGCCACGGTTTTGGATTCGGTCATCTGAAAATGCAGCCATCGTCCCACGACGTACTTCCTCCTACTAGTGTCATCGAAACCATATTTTTCTTGCAATTGTTCCTAGATAGCTTTTGCAGATTTTTCTCCAGAAAACATGTCAGAAATGAAATTTGTTACCCGTTGAAGAATTGGGGTCCGCGCAGTTTTGTTGTCTTTCACATATTTTGGACAGACCTGCGGCGTGCTTCGTACAGGCCTTGGTGCAGGAGCTTGATCAACGGCCTTGTCCGATTGATCAGTTGCCTTGTCCGACTTGTCAGTTGCCACGGTTGTGGCAGTAGCAGCGGTCGCGGTCGCGGTTGCGGTCGCGGTAGGAGCTGTCATAACGAAGGTGGCAGGGTCGTCATATATGACGTAGTCAACATCTTTCTCTTCCGGCAGCATGATGATCCTCGCAGCCCATCGTTTGTAGTTTAGACCACCGGTGAGAGTTTCGATGGGTGTGACATCAGACGCTGACTTCGTTGAAGTAGACATCGCCTTCCTGTTTAAATATCTTTAACTGTTGTGCAAAATAACAGCGATGAATACCTGGAATGAAGTTCACGATAGATGCAATGTTGGAATGGACTGGTGCAACGCAGAACCGAAACGAATTGACGTAGGCATGTGTCGCGCGTGTTCAGCGGAACACTATCTTAAAGATATTTAACGACCAGGGTATCGTTATATCTTCGGCAGATAACACAGACGGGAAGAAATCAGCATAAAAGAACGCAGGGTTGATGTTTCGTGAATATGGCTGTAATGCCGTGTGTCTTGAAATGGAAAGTGAGGCATTCTTTTATAGTGCAGTACTTGTCCTTACAACCTTTGCAAGATTGTAGGCATATTATGGACAAAACTTACACAACCAATGCTGTCCACACGCCTCAGCATGATTGTAGGCAGATTATGGACACAACCTGCGCAACAAGTGCTGTCCACACACGCTTGTTTGGACAAATTAAAATATTGATCCTAAAGAATAGGGACCAAAAGATGACCGAGCAATAAAACTTTGCCACACCACACCTCGCACACGTGCCGAGCGGGCGGGCGGCGGCGCGCGCGTGGTTTTCCCCTTATTCCCTCTCCATAACACTTCATGCCTTCTCTAGGGAGTTCAAGTATATAAGGGAATTAAGGAAAGGAAAGCTAGTAAAGCAATGTGAGACATTCACTTTAATCAAGTGATCATTAATTGAGTTCCCACTTGAAGCCTTTACTTTGAATGTTTCCCAACAATGGTCACGTAGAATCATGGGGAATCCTTGCAAACATGAGGAAGATTTTTCCATTTGAGCTCTTTCACTTAGGTGGTGATTAGGTCAATGCAGATTGTTGGACCTCTACTTCGCATGTGGAGCAATGGCTTGAAGATCATATTATGACTGCTAGGGATGCATATCAATGTTTTGTGCTCAAAGGTCAAGAAATAGCAATATCACAAAATTGGACACCAGTTAACTGGGAGGAAACCTTTAACACTTTTGCATCCAAACTCAACCTACGGACAGTGGTGCATAATTGGTTGGGCCCTAGTGTCTGTCTAAAGATGGTTGCTAAAAACTTCAGATGCATTTATAGCAACCAAGGTGAGGTAATTGATTATGTTGCTTCTCATTTGATTCCTAATGACATGCATAAGAATAATATAGTTAAAATTATTGCTCAACATGTGGGTATGTATGAGGTGATGAACTTGGATGGAAATGTTGGAGTGGATTATGTGAGAGTTTTAACTACTATGAGGTGGGTGCTATAAGTTGAAGTGAAATTAGATGTCTTCTATGGCAATCCTAGAATGCAAAGGTGCAGTAAATTTGTTTTTGATCCAGGTGGTACTTCCTTGCTTGATCCTTGGGGACAAGGATTTATTAAATGGAAGGTATTGGTAATGGTGCACTACTGGAAATTCTGAAATTTCCGACCACCTGAAAGTAATCTTAAATCAAGTTGAAAGTCTTGTTCCCACCACTTTTGGTATCCGGAAAAACCTTTGTTGCTATTTCCGACCACTTTTTGGACTTTTTGGTATCAACTTAATTTAAG